AAGGACCCCAAAACCGCATTTACATATGTAAATCCGGGATTTACATGGCGACGGGATTTACATACGACATATATATGCGCGAATCAAATGAATAATTCTATGAAATCAATGTCTTCAGCCTCCGAAAGCGCAAAGACTACATTGAACGATGAACAAAGAGCAGCCGTTATTACGCATAAATACCAAAACCCACATGCTAGAAATATCGATCTTGTCAATTGGATAAGAGCCACATACCAATTAGATGTACATCCAAGTACAGTTTCTCGTTTACTAAAAAGAAAAGAGAGTATTATTAGTAATCCTTCAGCAAAAAGACATAGAACGGTTCAGCATCCAAACTTAGAAAATGCGCTATACGAATGGGTTATACAAATGCAGACCAAAGTAATATTAACTGATGCGATCTTGGTGCAAAAAGCCAAAGACTTTTCACAATTGTTGAATATTCCCGATGACGATTTCAAGTTTTCTTGTGGTTGGTTGTCCAGGTTTAAAAAGAGACATGGACTTAAGCAAATCAAAAAACACGGAGAGGCTGCATCAGCAGATACTGTTGCGATTCTTAAAACTATCCCTGAGTTAAAGGAGATACTGAAAAGTTATGATTTAAAAGATATATTCAATATGGATGAGACGGGCTTGTTTTACCGGTAAATACAATTAGATTTCATCATTTATCATACCGTTATTTATGTGTATGTTATTTTAGCCTTGAACCAGATACTTACATTGGCAACGACTCGTCTTAAAGGAAAGAAAAAAGACAAAGAGCGATTAACTATAGCATTATGTGCTAATGCTGATGGATCAGAAAAAATAAAGCCACTCGTAATTGGTAAGTATCGCAACCCACGTTGTTTTAAAGGAATTCACTATGACAGTCTTGGTGTTATGTATGAAGCAAGCCCTAAAGCATGGATGACGGGGGGGTATTTCAAAGATGGCTCAAAATGTTTGATGCAAAAATGACTGGTCGCCATATATTGCTGCTGATGGATAATGCACCAAGTCATAATATTAGCAATTTGACCCTTCACAATACTACCATTTTTTTCATTCCCCCAAATACAACCTCTCGACTGCAACCAATGGACGCTGGCGTAATAATGTCCTTTAAATGTCATTACCGAAGCTATTTTGTGAAATGGCTGTTGAATCAATACGAATCTGGTGCTGAAGATAAGAAAATGGATATTCTATCAGCTATACAGTTCATTATTCGAGCATGGGACAAAGTAACAGAAAGGACGATCAAATTGTTTTCAGCACACGGCAAATGATAACGATAAACGTGACGTAGATGAGGATGGTAACAATAATGGTAATGATTATGAAGATCAATTGAGGGAGCTGCATGCAGATATTACATTGACAATTATCTCGATTATCCGGAAGAAACTATTACAGAAGTGGAGCTTACAGATCAGGAGATCATAGACTTAGTCACACATGAAGTTAAAGGCGTGGAAAATGTAGTAGAAGACATATATTTGGAAAATGCAGAAGATGATAGTGTAGAAAGGCGAAGGATTACCCATAAGGAGGCACTTAATTGTCTAGAAACGCTTGCATTATATCTTGTACAGCAAGATATTGACGATGTTGTCAGGTTAGAACATGATCGTGAATTAGTACGATTAAGTGTAAAACGACTTGAGGATGCTTCTCGGAAGCAAACAAATATTACGAGTTTTCTACAATAATAATATATATGATAATTTCCCGATAAACTTTTTTTTATTGAATAATTTGAATAAACATCTTTCCGTTATCTTGGCATATTATGCAAAGCGGTCACGTGAAACAAAATGATTGGTGTTCTCTTAATGCACGCTCTCCATAAATGCAAGCACATTGTCGGTCCCGACGACGTGCACTTAGAGGGAGTTCACTGTATAAGGTCAAAGACAATTTAATGTTGTCGGAGTGGAGCTATTTCACCGCAAATTCCTTTGCATCTCACGTTACACCAAAAAAATTACTTATGAAAATGGATTCTTCAACTATAGTCCCTGACTATAAATTAATTTACTAATTGTGACGTCACATTAACATGTTCAACACAAGTGTAGCATAGTAAAGTAATAGTGTCAATCAAAGTCTTTACTTCTTTGAACATCATTATTTATTATGGCAAATATAGTCCAACCTCTCTCCGTTCCGTCCACTTACAAGGACCAACAATATCAAGTATGAATACTTAATAAAACATCGAGAAGCCCAATTATAACAATGTTACTTGCCAAGCCATTAACTTATTTCCTGCGTAAATAACCAGGGAACTTCGACCGACTTGGCAAAAGATCTCTCAAACAGTAGTACTCTTTATGTAGGCAATTTGTCCTTCTACACAACGGAAGAGCAAATATATGAATTATTCTCTAAATGTGGAGAAATAAAACGTATTATAATGGGATTAGACAAGTTCCAAAAGACACCTTGCGGTTTTTGTTTCGTCGAGTAAGTATATATTTGCAAATAATTAAAACCAGTTTCTTACATTTCTATCTATTAATCATGGGGTTATTTGTTCTAGATATTATAGGCATCAAGATGCATTAGATTGCATGAAATATATAAACAGCACAAAACTAGATGAACGTATCATTAGAACGGATTTAGATCCAGGCTATAGGGACGGACGCCAATACGGGAGAGGGCGCTCTGGTGGTCAGGTCAGCTACACACCGAAAGCCTCCAAATTCACGCATTTCCATATTTTATAAAATTTTTAGTTAAATTCTATAAACAGGTGCGTGATGAATATCGTCAAGATTTCGACTCTGGTCGTGGGGGATGGGGTCATCTGCGCGCTAAGCAAGAAGCCGAGCGTGCTAGGAGACAGAAAGCTGAATATGAAGCTATAACTACCATCCCCGTCGGTGCCGGCGAATACAAGGGAAAACGTAAGTTGCAAAGAAAGCTTGAACACGTTAAAATGAAACGATCATCCAACATTTACAATCTATGAATTGACTTTCAAATCATAGTGTCATCTCAGAAGAAGAGAGATAGGACAGAAGGTGAAGATCGAGAATCTCAAGGACGTGAGAAGGTATAGTATCACTAAGTTTTAATGCAAGCCATACACGTGTAACAAAACTTCTTGTTTCTTGATCCATAGAATCCGCGATTCAGGGAAGGTCGCTCGGATGATGAGGATGAGATGCAGACAGACATCTAGAAAGTATATTAAAATGAGCCGTGTAAATCTATGTCTTCTGTATGCTTCAAGATACGAACGCGTTGTATCAAAAGACATCTTGGATTGCGGATAAATGCGATGAAAGCAATCGTACATAGTCTACTCAAATAGATTTTACTGAACGTTATAGTGAATTCATAGCTTGACATAGTCATATAGACGTCTTGTATATAAAGAATGTTCGTGGCAAATCAGGGTTTCAAAGATTCTCTTCAGTTGTGTTGTGAGCCCATCCATTATTCGGTAGTTTTGCTTGCTTTCGAAAAGAAATCAATTACAAATGGCGCTTACATGTTTAATAATAAAGGAAATCAATTTAGATGTGTTATAGATTGTTAGTACTATAAGAAGTGTTTGCATTTCCATCGCTATGACTATGTCACGGTAGGGTGAAATTTCAATTCTCGTAAAGATTTGCTCAACGTACCAATCCTTATCAGCGCAACATATACAAAGAATGAACTAAAACCTCTCATGCGCGCTTGTCGCTGCAGTTCCTTCTGCTCTTCTGTTGGTTTTGTTTGGGGCATAAACATTTTCAAAAGCTACAAGTAGGTGAGATTTAATAAACTATTGCGACAAAAACGGCTGCATTCTCATTTTGGGCAATAAGTGTGAATAGTAAATCAACTGTTACCTGCTTCTATTCGGTGTCAAGGGAAGAAGCGAATTTTGCACAACCTAAAGCGAGTAGCAAAAAAAATATCTTCGCAGTTACACGTGATATTAATACACTAATAACAATAATAATAATATGATGATAATAATAATTATAATAATAATTTATTAATATATGGGGCAGACTGCAACAAAACCAGACAAAGTGAACATTCTTAAATAGGAGCTGGTGTTGGCTGAAAGTTAACTAATTTGACTGATGACGTTTTGAAAAGTAATAATGGTGCTCATCCATAACTTATAGACTTGTTAACTTTAATTTTCACTTTATCATACCAGAAGGTGAGGAATATAAACCATAATAATAACAGGAGTAATATAGGACTATCCCTATATTAATATAAAATATTAATATGAAACTAATTTACATTAAATCCACTATGGAACCCAAGAATACAGCAGTATTTTAAAGAAAGCCCAAGGAGAAAAAATTGCTCCTTATGTTTTTAAAATCAATAATACCCAAACTCTCCAGCAATATCTAGATCAAGAAAAAATTACTTATTATTATGAAATTTAACTTACTTCTTAACTTTCAACCAACTTCATTTTTTAGATTCCTTAACTTCAATTTGAGCAATTTGACCATTTTGTTGCTCCTTTAGTTGCTTATTTTCTTTTTTTAAC